ATCGAACCCCAGGGGTTCGGTGAGTCAATCTCAGGGGTTCGGCGGAAGGGGGGGGGGGAGAGAGAGAGGTCATATTACATAGTTTTTGTATCAGTACATAATATCAGTACATAATATCAGAACATAATATCAGTAAATAATATCCAGATGATTGACTGCCCGCCCCTCCTTTAATAACACACAAATTATTTGTACCTCCCCAGGTGTCCCAACATGTCAGAATTAGAGACATTGCTACATCTGTTATGCAACATTTTGTCTAGAACAGATTGAAACACTTAGACTATCGATATATTCATGAGTCGAGAGAACCAGAAATCTTAACGCTTTCATGCGTGGTGCCACTGACACCTCCCCACCCCTTCCCCCACCCCTCTTCCCCTTGAAAATAGATTAGTTGTGGTCCCGTTGTGCTCTTAGATATTAAAAGCTACACGTGTTGTTTATTTTAAATTCAATACCATAATATTTACACCTTTTTTTTTTCTCTCTTGATCCTTAGATCTGGCGGTGTTATCAGGCGTGAATGCTGGGATAGGTTCCAATGCACACGTCTCATGAGAACGTCCCCTCAAAAATATCACGCCATTGATTTAACGTCTGCTGGAGGATGCGTATTGATCCGGGCCTTGCTTAGCCACGAGACGGCGCCTTTCTTCATCGGCCGAATTATAACCAACCTTGGGGGATTTGGAGTGGTACTAAACGCTTTTCCGTCTCAGCATCATCCCCCCCCCCTCCTCAACGTCAATGACGTGTGTTTTTGTTTGTTTGTTTTTTTTTTTAAATTTACACCCCCAGTTTGTCAGCAAACAGAAGCAAGAATGACTGCTTAAATGTAGTACCTTGTCTTTACTTGTATTTCTAAAAAAAAAACAGAGTACATGTTTCGATAAATTAAAAACATTTTTAAATGCCTGCTGTTCTTAACCCGAGGATTTGCTACCGGGATAGAACACGAAACGCCCTATATCATATTAGTATGATATAAGCAGACAAGGCACGGATTTATTTCAAAAAAGACTACAGCTAACTTTGTATAAAATAATTCGTGAAGGATTACAAAAAGCACTCCTCAGTACAGATACTCGTAAAATTATCCCAATGAGGCCCATTCGCTCCAGTACCGAATATCGCCGGAGGTCCAGCGGGAATGTCGACTCAATGAACCCGATGGATCCTAGCAGACGACGCAGTGTCAACCTGACCCACACTAACGTTCAAGAGGTCCAAGCTCGCCGATTCTCCCTCGCCACTCACAGCGACCTTGGCGCCATTCAAGGTCATCCAGCCACCAGAGGGGTGCCTTTCTCGTTCCCCAGTTTCATTCTACGCAGATGTTCCCTTCCGTTTCGTGCGGGCCTCTCCGCTCGCCCAGGGGTTTTCAAGACCCGTACTCTCGCACTGAGCGAGGCAGACTGTAGACAGCAGGATTTAAATTTATATAGAATCAAAATTCTGGTCGTAGGTTTTGTGGTTATTCTTTTCATCGCCATATTGATCTTGTTTCTACCATCGTCAAAACAGACGCAGTAATGCTCTAACGCTCACTGCGCATGCTCTAAAGCTCACTACGCATGCTCTTTGGCTTCATATGATGTAGAAATAAATCAAATTAAATGTAAAAAAAAAAAAAAATTCTTTCAAAAGGATTAAAAAAAAACAAACAAATGGAGCATGTTTTATAATCATACTTCTTCCAGTTTTTACTTAATGTCTGCTAAATATTTAAATGCAGAACTTACGTTTTACCTTATTAAATTATAGTATAGTTTCTTTAAGATGTCTTTATGTTTAAGTGCAATATCCGCAGGAACAACAATGCATCTGTAAATATACCATTAACATACATTTTTTGACCAAGAAAGAAATGTGTGGAATATGGACACCATGTTTTTCTGTAGCTTCAAAGTCAGTGCCATAGTGGGAAAGAAATGTGTGGAATGTGGACACCATGTTTTTGTGTAGCTTCAAATTCAGTACCATAGTGGGAAAGAAATGTGTGGAGTGTGGACACCATGTTTTTGTGTAGCTTCAAATTCAGTACCATAGTGGGAAAGAAATGTACGGGCTTCTCCTTTTGTGTCAGTAAATTAGGCCTCGATTTTAATGGACATGTATTTGCCTCTGACTTACTGTAGCACAATATAATATACTTTTTGTAAAGTTGATGTCTAGTATATAACTGCACGCACCATCTAGGCCACGCCACGCCATCTGGGCCTCGCCATATTGCTCTGTCCCTATCAGCTACTATTATTCCCAAACAATATTATTTGTTATGTTGACGATGTGGCGCGATTAATTGGATTCTGGTGTTGACAAGTCCCATGACAGGCGAAGTGGATATGAAGATTGGGCCACGGGAGTGGTGGTTTGGGGGGGGGGGAATGACCGGACACGTCAATAACTCATGGACGACAACACCAGTTATTCATGTTGTCAGGTCTTAGTGAAGAGGCTTTTAATTATAATTATACCGGTATGAATTTGTTGTGAATAAAGCAACTGGACTACAATTTACTACAATTAAAAATAGGATTTAACTACGTGTTTGGAGATCATAAGCTGTGAAGTTAAAGGCTGGAGATGGCTAGGATACCCAATTCTGACGGTTTAGACTGTCAGTTAGCAATCCGATAGCTAAAAACCATAGCCTACTGCTCAATCGTCGATGCTACTTCTGATCTGTCATCGATGAGACTCACATGTTTGCGCGACAGAATCTCTAAACATCTGAATCACAGGCCAGCACTTCCCACGTGCTTTCTTTGTAGGCATGGNGAATTTTTAGAAATGTTTTAATATAGTTTTGATTTACTGTAGGGTATTTGTATGGTGAACGAACGGACAGGACATCAGCTTAGTTACTTTCTCTTTATTTTCTCTTTACTTTAATAGAATTTTTGTCTAAAATTTTTTTATCCAATCAATCCAGGGGGGGGGGGCAAGTGCCCCACCTTGCCACTACCTGCGGGCGCCCATGTTTGTAGGCAAGCCAATGTCAGTTAATGCTTGAGTGAGATATTTTTGAAATTATTACTGGAGCTCCTGTTTCGCTTTCCTTTCCATAGGTCGCTATATAAGACGTCTCTAGACAAATAATCGGCCTCCATAACGAGAAAGATTGCCCGCCGAACCTAACACTCTATAGTGAAAAGCATGAACTCCTATGATCTCCATACTGGCGCCTACAAATAACCTCAATGTTTGTATTGTAATGTAATCTTGCTAATTTATGAACAAGAATTCATGCCTACATGCGACGTTGGTGGAACCTTCTTGGGCAACACTGGTATCTGTGAGCAACTCTTGGTATCTGTGAGCAACTCTTGGTATCTGTGAGCAACTCTTGGTATCTGTGAGCAACTCTTGGTATCTGTGAGCAACTGTGGTATCTGTGAGCAACTCCTTGTATCTGTGAGCAACTGTGGTATCTGTGAGCAACTGTGGTATCTGTGAGCAACTCTGGTATATGTGAGCAACTGTGGTATCTGTGAGCAACTGTGGTATCTGTGAGCAACTGTGGTATCTGTGAGCAACTGTGGTATCTATGAGCAACTCTTTGTATCTGTGAGGAACTGTGGTATCTGTGAGCAACTGTGGTATCTGTGAGCAACTCTTGGTATCTGTGAGCAACTCTTGGTATCTGCGAGCAACTGTGGTATCTGTGAGCAACTCTAGGTATCTGTGAGCAACTGTGGTATCTGTGAGCAACTCCTTGTATCTGTGAGCAACTCTAGGTATCTGTGAGCAACTGTGGTATCTGTGAGCAACTGTGGTATCTGTGAGGAACTGTGGTATCTGTGAGGAACTGTGGTATCTGTGAGGAACTGTGGTATTTGTGAGCAACTCTTGGTATCTGTGAGCAACTCTTGGTATCTGTGAGCAACTCTTGGTATCTGTGAGCAACTCTTGGTATCTGTGAGCAACTCTTGGTATCTGTGAGCAACTCTTGGTATCTGTGAGCAACTCAGGTATCTCTGTTATCTGTGTGGTAAAACTTCGGTGATTCTTTCGACATGTATTCAGTGTGACTGCACGGCCGGACACTTTTGTAGACGGTCACTTGAAATCATGGCCTTAGTCTGACGCTTGCCCATTTTTATTTTTTTTTAATACTAAGGCATCACTAGGGATTGTGACCCCGAACTATGTAAACCAGCCCTGCACAACATACGGCCCCCCAGCACCCACTGGCGCCCCCCGCGAATTAACGAAATATTCTTTATTATTATTTTCTTAACAGCTTTCCCCGTGTCCTATTATCTTTCAGCCCGCACAAGTTTTTCATAACCTAAAGCGTTACGGCCCACCTCACATTTTGAGTTGTGCTGGCCTGATGTAAACTAATCAACTGAATTGAATGGGCGGCCGTTGATGCTGATTTGTTGTTTAATTTCCGATAACCCCCGGTATACTTATAATGGAGGCTCTACGGTATTTCTAGTAATGGAACTTGTTTTCTTTATATTTATGGCGAACACGGAAGCTTCAGCTGGCTGAACACAGTGTTTAACTACAGTCTGCCGAAACTCTTTCTGCGTGTGAGCCAGAACAGCACTGCCAGCCCAGTTCTGCTGCGTGTGAGCCAGAACAGCACTGCCAGCCAAGTTCTGCTGCTTGTGAGCCAGAACAGCACTGTCAGCCAAGTTCTGCTGTGTGTGAGCCAGAACAGCACTGCCAGCCAAGTTCTGCTGCGTGTGAGCCAGAACAGCACTGCCAGCCAAGTTCTGCTGCTTGTCAGCCAGAACAGCACTGTCAGCCAAGTTCTGCTGCGTGTGAGCCAGAACAGCACTGCCAGCCAAGTTCTGCTGCTTGTCAGCCAGAACAGCACTGTCAGCCAAGTTCTGCTGCTTGTCAGCCAGAACAGCACTGTCAGCCAAGTTCTGTCTGCTGCTTGTCAGCCAGAACAGCACTGTCAGCCAAGTTCTGCTGCTTGTCAGCCAGAACAGCACTGTCAGCCAAGTTCTGCTGCTTGTGAGCCAGAACAGCACTGCCAGCCAAGTTCTGCTGCTTGTGAGCCAGAACAGCACTGTCAGCCAAGTTCAGCATTCAAGACCTTTCTGGTCTGAATTAGGGATACATTTATCTGCGTTATTTTAAATGCAGGTTACACTCCTAATTTCATTCAGCATCTCTCTCTTTCAAATGGACATTTGATTAACGGTAGTATATTTTTGTATCTCCTATTGTCAGCATTTTTTTTACCAGGTGTGCACTGTATATGTACTTAACAAGACTGGTGCTGTAGAGTCAATTTAGCAAGGCTTTTTGTGCTCCAAAGAGGTGAGGAGCAATGTTCCCTTTAAGCTGCGCGGCCGAGCATGTAAGTGTTTGTGTATGTGGGCTGTAAAATTTTGCACACAAAAAAAATTGATGCTGTAAAACTTTACCCACAACTGTATGATTTTGCACACGAACCAACAAACCTTAGAGGGAACATTGGTGAGGAGTAATGTTTTCTAGTCATGTCAACAGTCTGTTACAGAATGTTAAATTCTCTAGTCATTTCAAGTCTGTTCCAGAATGTTAAACTCTCTAGTCATGTCAACGGTCTGTTCCAGAAATGTTAAATTTTCTAGTCATGTCAACAGACTGTTCCCAGAATATCCCCTTATCATTAGAAAGTAATGGTCAGCAAGACTAGCACCACTAGCACGACTAGCACCACCACCACCACCACTACCTGCACCACTACCACCACCACTACCACCACTAGCACAACTAGCACCACTAGCAACTCCTTATCTCCAATGGCCACTGGATAATGAGGCCGTTTAGGTCCTCAATTTTTTAATCTTGAAAAATTTCTCTAATTTGATTTTTCTGTTACAATAAATGGATCCACTTGCCACTGTCCTTGATATAAGATGCTGTCATGATTTGTTTTAATCAATAATATATGGAAATATTTTGTATTTACAGCCTACTGTAATTATGTCATAACACAATGAGACATTCTCATATGGCAAGATTAAGTATTTTATAAATTACAGACATTGTTTACATGAAAATTCACAGCTCAGTGCATTTTTTGTTTGCCGCATATAACATTGTCTTCAATGCATTCCTTAATATTTAAAAACAAAATCAAATATTTCTTTGAAATCCATGACTATTTATTTGTATGTTTGAAATTAAATGCATGTTCAACATGATTCAAAGCAGATGACAGAATATTATTGCCACTGTTAATACAGACAACAAACAGCATCTGTCCATGTAAGGTAATACATAAACAAATGTATCTAACACAAAATTGTGAACATGTACCATGGAAAAGAGATTGTGCCGACTCAAAGAAATAAACATTCAAAGACATCACTGTCGTTTGTTGTTTTTAAAAAAAAAAATAATCTGCACACATTGTAATCAACAGACCTAATCTATAACAGTACATAGGGTTGATTGCTTCACAACAAAAAAGAAGATAAACTTACTAATAATGTATACCGGTATATATAAATATTTCTTGCTTCTAGAATTTAAAAGCAGATTTTTTTTAAAACTTATGATAGTTGTAAATGCCCATCCATTAAAGAATATAGAAAGAAATTATTTAAATGTAATGTGCTACAATTGTTAGGAGACAAACACTTGCACCTGACAAACCTTAAATGGGGATGTAGAAAATAGGGGTTATTCAAACTTATTGTCATAATGGGAAAAATTATCAATTGATTTCATGTCTGCTTAAGTTGTATTTCAAACTACAGTTAACTAGGAACAGCAATATCATTCAGGTTAATTAACTAGTGCTCTAATCTTTCAAATAATATTTAATATTTTATCATTTTTACGAAAAATTTAATGTTCTACCATTTTTACTAAAAAAAGCCTTTGCAAGGATTTTTACCAACAGAAAATAGACAGCACTAGCTAGAGCAGTGATCAGTGAAGCCCTAAGGGCAGCTCCAGAAAACTCCTAACCACAATTAACTTGTAAGACATGGCTGGCCCTAAGAGCAGCTCCAGGAAACTAAGAACCATTATTAACTTGTAAGACATAAATATCCTTAAGGGCAGCACCAGGAAATTACTATTATTAACTTGTGAGACATGGGTAGCCCTAAGGGGCTCCCCCTTAGAAATTGATTCTAAACAGGGCTCCACACATCAAAAAGGTTGGGAGCCACTGAGCAAGTATTGTTTATCTATCTATTTATATATATCTGCATATCACTGAAAATGGTTTTAGGTGAGATCAAACAGGCATAAATGAGAACAGAGTTTAATATCTGTTTTACAAGAACAGAAGCGGTTGAGGTAATGAAAGCACAACAGAATTGTGATAAAATAATCTCTGTGATCAGGTCTGTGCCTGGAATGTAACAAAACATCCTAGAAATGATGAAGCACCATATGTTTAAATGTGTGACCCCCCTGCCCTCAAATTTCAGATAGTCAAAAGATTTTACTTTCCTAATGATGCGCATAGAAATACATTGACCTCTGCCCCCCACTAGTTAAAATAAAATAATTTAATTATTCATCATGTTTAAGATCCCATAAATTTACATTGCATAATATTATTTTTCGCATTTATTTAATTATTTTTTATTTTAAAAAATAAATCAAGATTACCCTATGAAGACATCAATGGAGAGAAATACATCAAAAACACTATGTCATTCTAAATTATAATCAAGTTAAAGGCATTTTAAAGTATCACACACAACAGTCAAATTTTTTTTGAAAACAATGAAAGTTTTTTCTCAATGAAAGTTTTTTTTCTCAAAACGTTTATGTTATAAAGACATTGTTAACATCTTTTATTGTTCCTGTACTTGTAATATTTAACCTGGATTAGGAGGAGAGCCTGCATTGTGTCCCCTTAATAACTAGAAACTCAAAAAGAAACATCACATGCCAGTTTTTATCTTTACAAACAAAATGTGTTCTCCAGAAAAATTCCTCTTCCATTTATTTCCCCAATCAAGCATTATGTTGCAATTAACATTTCTTTAAATAATATTTTAAAATGAAGTGCAGTAAATTGATATGGTTACTGCAAGCTATCTACAGAATAGACATGGCTAAGACATTGATTACTATCAAGAGTGTGATTGTTGACTAGATTCACATTCATTTATATTTTTTTAACTATAAATTTTGTAAGAAAAACATAACTAATAATATAATGCAGGTGTATGGTAAATATAATTTCAAAGTAAAGTAAAAAGCTTTGATCATCTTTATGTACTAACAAAATTGTCAATAGCTTTGATACTTTTCATTTGCTTGATTAAAAAACAAGAAACATTTTAATGCAGTTCTGTATCCCAAGAGTTTTATGGAACCAGTAACAAAAATTGACACAGTACAGTTTTTTTTTTTTTCTCTTGGTGGTTAAAATTAAGTTAAATAGTAAAGTACAGTAGTAAATAGAACAGCAGCTGCAACAAAATTGTGTTCAAATCTGAAATTACTAACAATTACCTCTCTGTTTAAGAACCGGTATCAACGATTATATTTTCTGAGCAAAGAAAATTAGACGCCTCGTTGTCTAACTACAATTGCTAATTATATACCTAAGTGAACACATTTGGAATTGTATCTTTATAGAAAATGAGAATTTAAAAATATATGAATGGTACAAAAGGCCAGACCTTAACTACCTGACGGTCTGGGCCATGTGAAGAGGATGTAACATCAACTCAAAAGTTGCCCCTTTTAAATTGGCCCCACGCAAGTTGGCTTCTTGAAGATCACAGCCAGTCAAATCACAGTTCTGAAAAGATAATCAGGCAGTTTCACCATGACTCCATAACAGTATTCAGTAAGATCTTAAACTTTACACAAGTTAATATTTATTAATAATTTTTAAAACTGTGACCCATCAGATAGAGGATTATTATATTGTTCTTACAGTGCATGACATTTTTATTACCGGTATCGTACTTATATTTGTTGTTTAAACCTTGATGTAAGGTCTGATTAAAATTTATTTTATGTCATAACTTTAAAGAATAAAATAAAGCTAACATTAACAGTAAATATAAAAGAAAAGAAACTGTGGAAAATGTTTCTTGACCAAGATCATGAGCACACCATTGCACAGTTAGTTGTGATTAAAGAAATACTTAAGTTTTCAAATAAAGGTAAAACGCCACTAATAAATTTATAATCTATCTGTATTTGAGACAAAGAGGCAGACCTGCCTGCTACTACTAGTAAGAATGTTGTTTAAAAACACTTTTAGCATTTTAATTACAATTTCAAAAAGAAAAATATGAAAATCGCCCATCCCCAAATTTTTGTAGTTGCTTTGTGTTAAAAGTGAGAGAGAGTTGCTCTGAAGTTGGATCCCATTATTTCATTACTGCCTCTGCCTACTTCTTTGTCTTTACTTTAGTTAACAACTGGCGCCCACTTAGGGCCACTAGTGCTACAATCATAACATTGAAATAACGACCAGTGACACTCGAGTAATCCAAGAAAGATAACAAACACCCGGTACCCTATTTTGGCCTAGTTTAACAAAAGTCCTGCCCGATGTATTTTTGATGACAACTGCAGCCACCTCTGTTAGTACAGCAATTTCTTGTCATTTAAAGTCTAACATAAACTGATGCGTTGCCTTACAGTTTAAATACCATATAAAAAAAAAGCAGACCTGTTTACCCTCAAACTCTTAAAATGGTACAACGTCATCACAAAATCCTTCAACACATTATTCATTATCTTAACTCATTCCCTCCGGCAGCGCTGCTTCCGGACTTAATTTATTTTCCTGAGAAAAGGGAAGCAACTCAGTTTTGAAATTGATATATATTTTTAAAATATTTTTTTAAGTTGCTAAATATTATTTAATGTTAATGAATTAAGAACAAATGCAACAAAAAATGAATAAGGTTTAATATAAATATAACATTAGCGGGGGAAAAATAACGAACAATGGCCAAAAAAATCGATTTTCGGCACCTCGGACGAACACGTGGTACATATAGACGCGCCGTACTAAAGCACACGTAGTTTTAAAGTGAAACAAGATAAAAACTTCCGGTTTCTAAATTAAAATCACGCAGAAATCACGCCATAGCCGGAAGTCTCGAGGGGTGCGAGATTTCATTGCTATTTTTAACTAAAAATAAGAGAGGTGTGTCGCTATGCGCCGGGACGCATTTGGACGCATCAGTAGGAACCCCCCGAGGACGCATTTAGTCGCAACCGTCGGGAATGAGTTAATAGCAAAAAATAAACATAAAGTATTTATAATGTATCTCAAAACTGTACATAGTACGCCAAAATTGTAAGAGTAAACAGGTCTGAAATAGTTCAAAGTAAAATTCCATTTCATTAACGGTACCCGGTACGGTATTTAAAATAAAATTTTGAGGGGGGTTTTTACCAGAAAACACTTTGACTGGTCTGATAGAATAGCAGCGGACACAAACCATAAAGTTTATGCAGCATTAACGATCAGAAATCTGCTTAAAGTAAGTAAACCTATACACGGGTAAGCCGCGGCATGATTAGATTTAGCTTAAGAAATGGGCAGATTAAATGATAGTTTGAATTTGATGTTTACATTTTTAAATTAAAATTTCAGGAAATTTATAAAAGTACAGTACCGTATATATTTTAAGAGCATCAAAGTAATGGCTAAGAGAGCTGGATTGAATCTTGTGTTATCGTGACAAGAATTGACATGAATTTATGTTCTCAGTATACAATGCATCATAACAAATAAATTGTTATCTTACCTCAAGATCTGCCCCAGCAAGAATAGCACCTCGAAGATCACAGTTTTGGAGATTTGCATTTTTCAGTGTTGCCACTCTAAGATTCACCCCTGCCATATGACTACCTTCAAGATCAACATTTTTCATCAAAGCACCTGAAAATAATAATTAATAATGCCAATGGACATTGGAAAGAAATTTAAAACAAAGTTTATCAGTATACCAGTACCGTACTACAGATTTTGAACAACATCCTGGTACCGATTATTATCTAAAAACTGTGTGAGTTTTCATATTCTGATACTTATTCTTATTTCAAAAATGACTTCAAATATAGTTAAAACTATAGCACTTTTTAAAAATCCCTAGGCAGGGGTACCGTGCTATACAAGACCTTTGTAATACGGTAATAATAATAATAATAATTAACTTTAAAAATATCTTTCAAATTGTTCATAGTATTTCGAGACTCATCATTGGGATTTTGTGAAACAAAAATTTAAGTTTGATAATTCCTGTTCCCACAGTTCCAAAGGTCCACTTTGAAATATTCTGTGCATTAAATAATATTTATTTCAAAATTCTTGTTTTTGCACCCCTTTCCATGTGCTTGTCCTAACTAACCCTTTCATTGGACATAGTTCATACAATACACAATCCATGTTTTAAAAAAATGAGAGAATATTGGCTCCACCACATGCTAATCCAACAATCTTACCTTCCATGCTAGCACGGCTCCCAGCAGGATCCTCAAAGTAACAACCTCTCATGGATGTACCCTCTAAGTTTGCACACAACATCTTCACACCCATAAGATTAGCAGACTGAAAGTACAAATTATGCGTTACATATTTTTAAACCATATTTTTTCAAAATCCTATTGCCAATGTTGTTGTTTTTTCTTTCAAATAAAATGTGAGTTCACATCAAGCTAAACCCATTGTGATTGTGATAAGACATATCAGATCAAGCAAAACCCATTGTCATCAAACATATCACAATAAGTAAAACCCATTGCGATAAAACATATCAGTCACTGGAAATCTGTAAACATTTTTCATATACCCATTAATGTATGCTTTAACTTTCATTATTTTACAAGCAGATATCATATTTCTATCTAAAAAAAAAAAAACTTTTTTTAAAATTTGCATATTTTACTTTGAAAGGGAATTGTAATGAGAACTTACATCTATAAATGCTTTGCAAAGATCTGCCCTTTCAAAGTTACAGAAAGACAAGTTGGCACCAGAGAGATTTGCATTTTTCAGGATAGCATACTTGAAATTGATGTACCTCAAATCAAGTTTGGAAAGATTTGCACCAGAGAAATTCATTCCCTGCAAGAATTCGTAATGGGATATTTTACATCTTAAAATAAATATCGTAACCGTACAGAAAAACCTTTCCTTTACTGCACCATAGTTAATTGAATGCTTTAAAAAATTCTACTTTTTTGTTTTTTTAATCAAACATTTTTTTAAACATATTTCCTAAACTCTGCAGCTTTCCTAGGGTTAATTTAAAATCATCCGCAATAATCAACTGTTCAGAAACCTTGAAAAAAGAGTTCAAAATCAATACCGGTATCTATTTTTTCAAATATATTTTTTTTAAAAGCTGACCTGACACCTGAGTTCTTGATTAGTTGGAGTAGCTAATAATCTTAAAATCAGATCACGTCTTGTTATGGGTGTATTATCATCAGGGAGCTGCTCACGCTATAGAATGATAGTTAAATAAGTCTTGCATTTTAATTTTAATATTTAAGTTACCCGTAAGAGAAATTCACTTTTGAATGAATTAGAATATGCAAATAATCAAGGGATGTACAGATATTCTTAAAAACATTTGTGAATCTTTTGTTATTTATAAATTGCTTGTACCGGTACTTAATATTTCTGGGTCTCTGTGGCAAAGTTAATACTAATCTTGCTCAATAAAATTTAAGGAACATCAAAGCTAAAGTATATTAACTTAAACATCTGAAACATTTCTTGGCATTTTGAGTTGCCTAGAGCTTTATTTCTATCATATCACCAAACGTTGGGCATTTTAATAATCTAAGACTAACCTCAATCATTTCTTCCAATGTTTCGATTAAAGATGAAAGCCCAAAAAACTTTGCTTCTTCCAAAACCCCTGACAGAAATTTATGGAAGAAAAAAATAATTTAATGCTCACTGTTACATTTTTTTTTAAAAATCTAATCACTTGAGTTGCGTAACAAACATATATGTTAAATAAACATTTTATTAAAACTAGTAAGGTCATTAATTAAACAATATATAACAAGGAGAATTTTTAAAAATGTTATCTTTGCTGAGAATTATCACCTACTTTTAAAAAAAATGTAATAATAATATATCCCAATTTATTACCTTCAGGATTAACAAATTTATCTAAAATGAGTCTGCCATGTCTCAAGTAATTTAAAATGGGTTCAAAGTAAAGAGGACTGCGATCAATCAGATAAGCTCCAGATTCATCCATTCTGCTATACCATTCTATTTCTGAAATTAAACAAAATAAATAAAATCATGTTAAAAATTATTTTAATGCATTTTTAAAAGTGTACAAGTACAGTAGAAGTCCGATAATCCAGCACGTTCGGGACCGGCTCGGTGCCGGACTACCGAAAATTCCGGTCTATCGGGCGGTGCTCCTTCTTTTTAGTGTAGGCTTTGCGGTAAAACAAATGTACTTTGTTTTTTTAACTACATACCATACATAAATCGTAATTATAAGAACAATTAGGTTAATAATTAAACTACAAATACAGTATGCAAATACAACAAAGTTTATTTTACATTTCATATAATGTATGTACATTTACTGTAAAACATATTTCACTTAGATTTAAAAAAGTCACGAATGTCTTTTTGTTTTCTTGACTTTTGTCGTTTAGTATAAAATTTATTTCTAATGATATGGAAATCAATAATTTCTGAAGCACTGTAGCTAGTACTAGCCTCAACAAAAGAGATAAACTTATTTATTGATTCTGCAGCTTCTGCCCACCTGATTTTTTCCTTTTCTTCCGTTTCGGCATCTGAGTCACTTTCTTCAAGATTTTGAGTAGGCTGAGGGTTTACTACACTGTTGATAATGTCCTCATCGGTTAGTTCTTGTACTGCACTAAACCATTTGAACAATACACTATCTAGCTGTTCTAGTTTTGTTTTTTTTAATGTTTGTCTAGAAGCCAATTTTTCAGTTGTTACCGATTGAGAAGCAAACTTTATTAGTTCATCTTTTTGTTTTTTAATGTCATAAATAGTTGATGAGCCAAAATTAAACTCATTTATTAAAACATTTCTATTCTCACCTTTTTCCAGCCGTTTGATGATTTCTAGTTTCTGATTGAGAGTCAGTGTTACGTGTTTTCGTTTCTCTCCTTTTGAACTCGAAGGCTTAGGTTTTGAAAACATGGTCACTGTACAGTTAGAACGAAACTCACTTTGTTTATAAACAGTTTCAAAAGTTACGTACGTCACTACAGATGTACTGTATTACAGTAGAGAGTACTGAGACACAGTTTACTGCGATGTGAAAGGACACAAAACAACAACGCACAAAAAAATGGTGAAGACGCTTCGTGATTGATTAACTGTGCTGCACTGCACCTGTATTTGTTGTGACAGCTGAGACTAGCGGGCCGCTAATTGTTTCCGAACAATACCCAGCGCTTCCGGATGATCCCGAACTACCTCGAAAACTTCCGAATAGCTCTCGAGCGATTTTTATTTGCTTTAAAGACAGACTTTTGGAGAAAACCAACATTTTTACAATTTTCCGAAGCGATGCCGGACTATCGGGCATTCCGGACTGTTGGATGCCTGACTAATGGACTTCTACTGTACCTTATCAAAATAAAAAATTTAGAAAAGCAACTTAAATTAATACTGTCATTCATATTAGTACTTTCAAATGATGATGATGAAAAATAAAACTTGGAAAAAAAAAAAAAAGAAAGATAATTAATTAGATACCTTTATCTGTGCTGAACATTCTTGCCAACATGCTGTCTCCATCAAATCTTGTCAGAGTACCTCTGATTAAAAATAGATTATAAGCCATACTTTTTAATATAAAGTTTAAATAAATATTTATTAAGTTTACATAAATATTTAGTAACACGTATGATATGCTTGGTACCGGTACATTCGAGTAAAGACAAAGTCATATAATAAGTATCTTGCCTGGTGGTAGTGAAAAGTTTTCCTCCAACATTGAGGGTGACCCAGTCTGACTTTGCCACAGTAGCATCAGCTTGTTCAGAAATATGTGTTAATCCAGTATCAGAACTCAGTGCATTTGAAGTTCTTCCGACACTTAAAGATTGTGGGATCAGAACAGGCACATCTGGAAGTTTTTAAAATACAAATACTGTACGGTATCTGAGTTTTTACCGGTATCAATTAAAAATTTTAAGCTTTGGGGAATTTCTTTTAATAAGATCTAATTGGACATTGAACGAATAAATTAAATTGAGATTTCATTTAATTTTAAAATATTAAATATTTGCAAACAGTTGTCTAAGTAACGTAGTAAGAAATTGTTTTAGTTAATTCCATGGAACCGGTACTGAAGTAGCTTTCAGTAAAATAATTCCAATTTGCTTCCAGTATGGTATAAATGAAAAATGTCATTTTAATTTAACTATACAGGGTTTTGGGTCTTAAGTAAAGTCGGTAGACTGTAAACTAATATTAATGGCATTTATAAAAATATATTAAGCATAATAGTAATGGTAAAAATTAAAAATTCTGGAATTGTATCTGACATAACATGAAAAAGATATAGTATCTGAGTTAGCTTCTTATTTGTTGATTTCCTCTGAAATATGCTTTAAAGGAAATATGTTGTTTCGTATTTCAAACTAATTATCTACAGTGTTCACTTTTTTAAGGACAATCTTTAAAAACTACTTAGAAAGCACAATTTTAAAAAAAAATACAGACAAAATAATGTAAGTGACATACCCGTAACGTGACTTTGTAACTGAGTTAACGTGTCTGAATGCAAGCAATAAAAAATAGAACAACAATGCCATTAATGCCAATTCTTTTACTGAGTTACAAATACTTCACTGTAATAGTTAAATAAACTTTAACATACATAAATAAGTGTTTTATGCTTGTCCATCATGTGAAATTGACTGTGATCATGAAAATAGGCTGTCTATATTTATAAAATGTAAACAATAAAATTCAACAAAATATATATTAAAATGAGCAGACATGTTCTTAATTCAAGATGGCCACCAGGTCATGTGTCACACAAAATAAAGATTCAGGTACTATAAATTAATCCATATCAAGATGCATGAAATACATTTATATAGAACTAAATTTTATGAAATTTAATTTTTGGATGTTGTGTCCTCGTTTACATGGAATTCACCTTTAACCAAACACCTCCCAATACTGACCTCCACTAGGCACACACTGGCCTTACCTCTACAAGCAATTTATGTCTACTGTTTTAACAAAATCTAAAACAAATCTTAAATCCTACGACACTGTATGAACTTACCAGTCTATATCATTACTAACAGACAAAGCAAACCTCTTCTGATTGAACATTGGTAGCACAACCAATATCTCCAACTTTTAACAAATCTAGTGACAGCTCTCTGATTGAACACCTTCAGCACAATCATTATCTCCCACTTTTAAAAATCTACTGACAACTCACTCTCTCTCTATGACAGCTCTAATTAATGACCTCTCTAAACCTAAGAGAATGACAACTGATTGATTACACTAAACAATGACAAATGTCACCTAAACATAATTATACCGTAATAGTTATTTTTAATCCATACCAAGATCGTTTTCAACCCATCCTGTGAGCAAAATCCTTGGGAAAAACATGCTGTTCGTTTTTACTTCAAAAAGAGTAACACAGCCATCTGTGGTTACGGTAACTTTTATTTTACTGATAGTGCATAGGACATGAGGCATGTGTTTAACACTGCGATGTTATGAACTATTCCAGCCTCATCATTTGCATGCTATGCATCATCCTCTATTCATTTCTATTAACCTAGTGGCCCTGATAAAAACTAAATGCCAGCGGCCATTTGTAGAAACAGTTTATGAAAAAAAATATATTCCCAATATTTACACAAATATACTTACAAATAAATGGTTCTCCTTCTGATGCAAATAAAAGATCATCATCCCTAAATAAAAATAGACATTTATATACCCGCATATTGGTGAGAAAACTTATTTAAATTTAATTTATAAAAAAAGAATCTTAGGCTCAAAGGGCAGTGTTAAAGACATTCTGCAATGAACTTATTAGGATAAGAGTGAGTAAGAGTAAACATTAAATTTGACAATATTGTTAATGACTCCAAAAACTTTATAATAAATCAACATCTTTTTTTTTTATACCCGGTACCAGTACTTGTTAAGATTTCACTGGAAAAGCAGATTTAAAAAAAAAAGAAGTTAACATGTTAGGAAACATATATATATATAGGCCTTATATATATTCAGTTCATCAAAAGATTACTTGGCCTGCCTATTTAAAATGACATGTTATTTATCACAAATAATTTTTTATCAACATGGTTATTTTTAAAATTATATTCAGTGGAAGTAGCATAAGAGTTAATTTAACCAACAAAATAGATCATGTATTTTAAAAATTATTGCCTTTTTATAAATATGCATCATAACATAAAGATTTATTTGAGTGCTTAGGTTACCAGTACTTAAAATACCGCTAATTTTCTCATCCTACTGTAATGTATTTAAACTGTAAACTTTCCTTCCATTACTTTCAAAGGCAGGTTGGCCATATCATTGTGATATTTTGTTAGCAGTGCAGAAATTACTTTTTTAATATACATTTATAACATTTTAATACGGTATAATAATGCATAAAATTGTTAGCTGCAACACTACAGCAAGAGAATGTGGCACGGAAGTTCTTAAATTTTATACTCAAAAGACTTGCACACATATTTGATTAGTCAATATTTACTATCAGCAGAGTTACATTAAAGTATCATAAAATTCATTATAAATATGTCTGATGGATAAATAATTTTTCTTTTAAGGCAGGATGAAATTTGAATTTTAAAAAAACACCCTGACTACTCTGGATCTATCAGTGACATTACCTGATTATAGCAATGTCATCTATACATCCACCAAGATGATTATAAAGACAGGTTACAGTGCAACCAAGTTTTTCTCCAATATTTTCCATTAAATTTTCCATTGTATCTTTCACTGCCACAACCTTTAGAAAAAAAAAAGATTTTCATTTCCTTAACTTAAATTGTTACTTCAAACTAGCACTAGATAATAGCCTACATTTTAATATTTATGGATAAAGAATCACAGAACACATATAGCTACAGAATTTCAAAAATTATACAGTATGTGTAATGAGAAACAAACCTTTCCATTTGTAAGTGAGCCATTCCTGTAGACTGTAATTCGCATCATTCAGGTTTACTATAAATAGCTCAGCAGCTCACACAACACATATTAGTGCAAGACTTTAAACTTTAACTCACACATTATATACTTCTGGTGCTGTTCAGATAAAAATAATTTAATTACAGTGATAATTAACAGAAATCACAAAGATGGATTATTTCCAAGAGCATAAAGTAGCTTGATTAGACCCTCCCTTGCCTTAATTTAATTAAAATCTATGGTTCAGTTTATAATGTTGTGTTAATTTAATGAGCAATAAAATATAATTTTCGGCTATCCTCCAAAAGTCGGGTCCCAAATTATTTTGTATGAAAAAAATTGCAATGCACAGTGTGTATTGTTAGAAAACAGCAGAAATGTCAGTCATAGCTTTTGCAAATAACTGTCACTTTACAAACCAGTCAGTAAATACTAAATGTAATTGGCGCATAGCATTAATAGCAGCCGAAAACGTTCTGCTTGTGACTGTTGTGCCTTTGAAAGGCCCCCAAGTAGCTAGCAAACAGACCGCGACTAGTAACACTCTGATAGCGGAGTCTACATTTCGCTTGCATCCAAAGTCTTTTAATAGTTTCTGTGTGAATGTCCTCATCTACTGAATCGACAAATTCATGCGAGTGCACATTGACAGCGTGAGCATAAATCCAGTTGTTGAGCTCAGCGACATTTTGCTATCTTCACCAAGCGTCCATGACAATAGTTGTCCCTGGTAATACATGATCAGTGATAACGCACTTGAGTGTTAGTGCATCTCGACGGCCAACAACCTCCATCAAACATCGGCCGCTACCACGTTCAACCAAGCCAACAACCAACTTACCAACGCTTTGCTGTCCACGGTGATATTTTCTATGGAAAAAGTCACTCTCATCCATCTCAACGAAAACAGACTGGCTGTTTGCATCGAAGCCTCCCAGCAGTTGATTGGTTGTCAGCATCCATTGACAGCATTCCTGATGAAGATAGTTGTTACAGTTGAGGATAGTGTCCCAGCTAACCAGACTCTTTAACAACATAACGTGTTTACACTTGACTTCATAAGCCCAATAATACATGATCATATCTATTTTTTCAGTTTTTATATCGCAGTTGGCAAAGAATGACCCGGTTCTAACACAACTGTGGGTGTGGCATGGGCAACAACGCCACGAAAAACTGTTGTTGCTTGCATTGGGCGCCTGCATGTTCCACAATTAAAGTTGTTTCTGATCAAGTGGTGTCAGGCCAGCCACTACAACCATCACACTTGTTTGACATTAAAGCATCAATTCCGCCCAGTTGTGCAGCTGGCAAAATAACCGAACTAATGCTTATCGGTGCGGCTGGTCTACCTGCCATAATTTCGCAAATTTATTGAAATTACGCAAACATAAATTTCAAAACAAAATGATGCCTAAGACTTTTAAGTAAAGAGTTATCATTGGAAATAATTTGGGACCAGACTTCGGAGGATTGCCTAAATTTCTTCCAATATTATTTTAAAGTCACTCCAAATTTGTTTAACCCTTTTTATGTCTTTGACTTTACTGTTACTAAACCCCTTGCTCTAAGTAATGAATTTTTTTATCAGAGTAAAGATAAAGAAGATGGTTCTTTGTAACATTTGGCTTATTTGCTCCACACATTGCCATTTTTAGTTTCTGAAGAGGCCATAACCTATCATCTTGTTAGTGAAGGGTTGTTTTTTTTATCTGAACACCTTTCTATTTTCTATTTCTATCTTTCAGAGGTGTTCACTGAAACTGTTGTTTTAGATTAAATGAAATCTATTTTTTATAGTCTAATAGTACAGTAATAGACATTCTTATAGTAATCCGGTCGAAGCCAAAAGGCTTATAACTTATAACATATTATTATTATGGTAACAGTAGCGCCTCAAACTAAATATTGGTAATATCTTAAATATTATTCTAAAAGTCTACTTAAACCCACTTAAGATATTTATTATTTAAGAATGCTTTATAAAATAAAATATAATAGCCTATATTATAAGTGTAGACTAGCACTAGAGTATGGTATAGGCCTAATATGAATATGCGTGTGACTACAAAATCACAGAAATACTATAGCCCTACTATTAGGCTGTAAGATAGTGCTTTCCAAACTTTTTATGTTAATAGTTAATAGTTTGCAACACCCTTTTTAGACATTCAGTAAGTCATTTTTACCAGTAGCCTATAACCAGAGATTAAACTAAACCAGTTATCTATATGTTTGCCAGTGTCAATGAAAAAATAAATCAATTAATTAATGATTCTACATTTTGGGCTTTCAATTAACTTTTCTAAAACAAAGGGCTGGTTTTTAAAAAATACACATTATTGGGGTGTACTGATAGCAAGAGAATAAGAGATTTAAGTTTTATATGGGAACATGGGGCATCCACTTTTATAATTATTTACTGGTGTGTACAGTTTACAGACAGGTCATAAGAGAACAATAAACATCAAAATCAAAATGATGAAGAATTAGCAAGCCAAAAATCACATTTTAGCACCCTCAACTGTTTCGGAATAATGAATAATTTTCTATATTTTATTCAGTCCTTTTCCATTTCTAAACTATGCCTATAATTATTGCCTCCCATTTTTCATCATTCAGACTTAGATGACTTTTAGTCAGAATAATGATAATAATAATAATTAATAATACACAGCTACTCAGTTTAATACAGTTTACAGTATAATCAAAGGCTAAGCCTACATTTGAATGTATTTTGATCAGGGCTGGATTAACCAAAAGGCAAACAAGGCACATGCCTAGGGTACCAAGCATTTGGGGGACACCACAAGTCCTCAAGAAAAATGTGTATATCGTCCCGGTAGAGTAATTGCATGGCGTAAGCAAATCACAAATTTAATATTGAAAGGATGCCTTGTGAATGAAAAGCTGGTAAAGTACTTTCCTATACCAGATGGGAAGCATATGCTGTTGCAACTGAAGCCATTCTAAAGTCTCATCCTCAGATTATATATGCGTTAAAATATTTACAAGAAGACCAGTCACAGAAGGGGGGCACCAGAAGAGAAGCAGAAAACATTGCAAAGAAGATGCAAGAATTAGAATTTGCTTTCATGGTTGTCTTTTGGGAAGAAGTGTTACAACATTTTCACAGGGTCAATCAAGCTCTACAAAATGAGCATGTGAACTTGAAAACATGCTGATTTGTATTCTTCACTAGCAGATCACTTGCATGAATCTAGGAATGAATTTGAAAGATTTGAAGAAGCTGCAAAAGAAATAACACCAGGTGTGGATTAAGTCAACTTTGACCCGTAATCGTAAATGAAAGACAGGGGTTATTGGTATCTCAGAATGCCAGAGACAATTTCGTATATCTGCTTTCTACACCATTGTTGACAAACTTGAGACAGAAATGAGTAGACGAGGACAGGTATATAATGATCCAGCAGTTCGATTTTCTTGTTTGGTTGATGTACCACAAACATATCAGTGTTGTGAAGGACTAATAAATGCGTAGCCTGAAGATCTGAACAATAATTTATATACTAAACTACAACAGTTCCACTCATATATTCGCCACAAGTTTCGTGCATCAAAATCTGAGAACAACACATTCAGTCATGCAGAACTCTACAAAGTAATAGTTAGAGACAACATCGAGTGTGCTTTTCCAAATGTAGAAATCGCCTTGCGCATATTTTTAACATTAATGGTTACGAACTGTTCAACTGAGCGCTCTTTTTCTCAGTTGAAACTTACAAAAAATCCAAGTAGATCGACAATGAAACAAGAAAGGCTTGATTCTTTATCTTCGCTGATGATTTAGGCAGACTTGTTGCGCAAAATTAACTTTGATGATGTACTCAAAAACTTTGCCAGACGTAAATCTAGAAAAAAACAACTTTAAAATGTAAATGTGTGCTCTCTCTGACTTTCTTATCTATCAAAAAACTTACAGTATTTTTGTCTACTATTATTACAAAATTAATTAACGATTAATTTTAATACAGAAATACCTTATTGTAGGTTTTATATGAGTGATAGTAGTACAAACATGTATTTACATTTCACAACTATTTTTCTTTGTTAGTTTTTTTTGCATAATATTGAACATACCAACAGTCAGTGGATGATCGGGGGCCCGGGGCAGTAAGGGGCACCCATGTGGGTTTATGCCTAGGGCACCAAGATGGCTTAATATGGCCCTGATTTTGATCATTGATATATTAATAAATATTATAATATATAATTATATTGGTCACTCATAGTCATTGACGTTGTTGACTAAGTCTAAGTCAAGTGTCAAACTTACTAAGTTACAGTCAAGTGTCTATTGCGTCTACTCTAACTAAGAAGACTAACTTATTCTGTTACTGTTATAAGTTATAGACTATATTACTATATTATACTAAATTATAGGCATAGACTTTATTTACTAGTTACTTTAACTTTAACTATTTAATTTAGTCTTCTGTTTACTTTCATTTACTTTTACCTCTTTACTCTTTAGTCTTTAGTTAGTTCAAACAGAAAATCATAGATAGGCATATGCGAATTAATAAAAAGTTTATGATTGTTGTATCGTCAGCTCTCTACATTTTGATTAGCCTTCAATGTTTTAATAGACGAAAACAAGAACATCTATCATTTTTATTTTATTAAGTCTAAGCCTTACTAAACTTTTAAAAAAGGATTATTTTAGCCTATTTTATATTTATTTTCTATTTTTAACTCCACCAAAGAAAGCTCTGTTGCAATTTTTAAAAACTTATTTAAAATAACGAAATAATATTTTATTTAAAAAAAAAAACAACTTCAATTTTAGTCCAAGATCAAGATCCAAGTCTTATAAACCCCTCAATGGTTTTTCCGTATTTTTTATCATTAGTGTATAAATATTCAGTTGTTATTTAAGTTTGTGTGTGACTAAATTACACAGTGTTGGGGATGGGGCTTATGCAATGAGATTTGGAGGTTTCTCTCCGAATATTCCTATTCAACCGGAAGTAATTCCTCCTCTGATGCAAGCGCGACTTGACCTTGCAGTTAATGCTGTTATATATCCACACGTGCAGAGCTTTCAATAGAGGACAGTCAACTGATTGAAGATCTAACTCTAAAAATGCCTTCTGTGACGAAGAATGTGAGTATCTTAGGCAATAATACGTATTCCCGACGTTTTTTTAAAGAAACAGACGCGTGAGTTCAAAGAATTTAAGAACTTCCTTCAGCTTCGAAAAAAATAGGAAAGTAGGCTATCCCACGGCCACACTCCACGCCGCACTAAAAAATTTGAAATTGTCATCTGCCATTCACTATTAGTATTTTAGCCAGAGTAATATAATAGTCTAAATAGCCAACAGCTTATTCACATTTCATTTATCGAACATGATCACTCACGAGCCTAACTGATGATGAAACATAAAACTAAAACGTATGATACTATCGGATGGGATGATATTGATGCGTAATAGATTCCAACTGAAACTCTTGCACTCTTACTCTCACTTGTACTCTTAGATAAGTATACATTATGATTATACAAATATCAAATTTGTAGAAGTAGACTTACTGTAACTTAGCCTACTTATTTCAATTTATTTATTTCTGAATTTCATCAGTCATAATTCTAAGACAAAACTTGAACATTGAATGCACTATCACTATAGACTATAGTAGCTACTTTGACTTTGACACAAAATTTAAATATTGTCTGATTGCCATGAATCATACATCATTTTAATGGTCTAGCTATAACCTTTATAACAACACCAATTTCATCTTTCTATCTTTTATAGAAGTGGAGTTATGATTTTTTGTGTGATTTTTTACAACCCCCTTCTTTATCTTTGTGTAGATACTTTGGTCAAAAATGTAAACATTTTTAAAAATAAACCAATGGCACAGTTGAATAGAGCTAATTTTAAACATAATTATAACACCAAAATCATATTTTTAGCTGTTGTAGTTTTAAAGTTATGAATTTTTAAAGTACGACTTGGTTTGTCATTTTTTAACATAGACTGCATCTCCACATTCTGTGACCTCATTCCACTGATCGCGTCATGCGCAATGACTATATAGTTTATATAAGGCAATGCATTCCCTTATCACTAAAATACTGTTTAGGGTCGACTTATTTTAAACTTTCAACTTTGGCACATGAATAATTAATAAAAGCTTTCCCTGACCAATGGTTTAATAGCTTTTGCACACGGCAAACTCTTATGAATGAAACTCTGAGATAGTACTACGACGTAGCCGTTATGCAAGTGGCTGTGAATGGTTGCCAATGACAACGTGTTGCACAGGGAAAATTCTGATCATTTATATTATGGACTCTGCAGGGTTTTTAAAGCTCAAATTTAAAAATTTCCAGTTTAAATGTCTTCAAAATGCATTCTGAAACACAAAATATAAAATATTTTGATGTATATAGTGGTAATAATTAAATATTTCCTAAGTATCGGCAACTTCCGCCATTAAAAAGGGGGCGTGGCCCACGCCATGTCGAAATTAGGCTGAGCCACCTTATGGTGATATGGGTCACTGTGACAAGTGTAACAAACGTGAGACACGACCTACATCAATGAAACTTGGCACAGATATAGATCAATATCTAATGCTCATACAGATTTAATAAAAAAGGACCTTATCTTATTATTTCACAAAAAATTTTGTATGCGAAGATGCCTTATATATACCAAAGATTTTCAAAATAAAGGTCGATTGAAAAAAGCAAAATAGCTGGCTAGAAATGTAGGCCAAGATGTCTTCCAAATTATAAGGCCGGAAACGGAACTCAAATATATGTGGAAAGAACTAATTTAATAATAAATAGACACACACATCGGAAAATTAAAAACTCGGATTTTTCGGCGCCGACGCCCATTTCCGATACAAAAAAAATAGTAGTCTCCCTTCTTTCATCGAAGTATCTACTTTGTGTTTAACCGAAAAAACTTGTGACCCACTTTCCAAATTTCTGCCTTATTTTGCCCCAAACTTTTTTATTTTAAAAGATAATGCAACCAAATTTTCAGGAGGCATTCTCAATGCAGTATACAACAAAATAAACAACAAAACTTTTATATAACATGAAGACTTTTATTTTTTATATATATATTTGAGAGTATGTTAAGAAAAACATAAGCAGAAAAGTAGGAAAAATTAACATTTGTAAAGGAAAAAACAAAAAAATAACATGTTTATTGTATTTTAATGAATAATGTGCTTACATTTTAAACCAATTCTTATATTTATGAAAGGTAAGTAGAAGTCTTTTTTGTTACAATGAATTTGAATGCATAAGATTATAAACAAAAACTACTTACATCACCAATAAGACTAAAAGGAGCATATCAGTACCGGGGTATGTGATTAAATTAAGGTAATGGGGATGTTATGCCTGTCATTTTTATATTTAGACTGCTCTTCAAACTGCTTGGTCTTGTTGATAAATCCATGATCTCTCTTTCATATACTTTGTCTTTGTCCAAACGTGCTTACTTGTCAATGGAAGGACTTCTTTAATAGAAAATTAAAATTTATTTTCTCCGATGTCTGAATGAAACCAAGAAATAACAGCTAATCATATCCTGAATCTACATAATTTCTTCTTTTTAATATTATTCAATTTTTTTGTTTGGTAAAACTAATTTCTTTTAGTTTTATTTTATTAGAAATATTATATATTTGCCTATGTAAACTGTCTTTGAGCCTTAAGAATAATTACTAAGTTAACTAAGACTTGGTTAACTTAATGATATTTGTTTATTTGATGTCTTTAATTTATAATTAAATGCTTTATTAATGTTTTTAAAATACTAACTTAAATTAGGCCTGTAACTGTATGAGTAAATGCAGTTGTATTAATGGAATTGAATAGTATTTTAGTTTATTAGTAATAATACATTTACATGGGTATCAGTATTAATTAATATTATTAGGCTTAGGCCTAGGCCTATTACTATTAAAATATACACTATAATATCATATATTCTCTTATAGGAGTAATGTCACTAATTAGAGAATAGCATTTATTATTAAGATAATTTAACTATTATTGATTCAATAAAGAAGATCGGATAAAATGTTTAGGCCTTCTCTCATAAAATTTCTAAACTTACTTACATTATTGTATAATAGTTTATGTAAATCAAGGGACAAAACTGGTCCGAAATTCAACAGACTACACAAACTAAAATTAATTAAAAAAATCTTTGATTTACTGGTATGTAATAATTTCTTAAAATATAGTAAAACTGTTTCCCATCAATTAATTGATAAGTGTTCCACGAATTTTTGAAGATGAACATTAATAGTCATCTTTTTCATATTAAAATATTAATGGCGAGAGCCATTTCCGACAACCCAATTTTTTTATTTAAGGGGGGATAACTGGTGAAAAACTCGATTTTCCAAAACTGCGGGGTCTCTAACTTTTTTCAGCGATCACTATTATTAACGAAATAAAGTTATTCCATTTCGTGAATATATGAAGCAGTAGCGCAGTAAAGTTGAAAGTGTTGGGCGATTTTACATTAAAAAGTAATAAGCTATTTAAGTACATACCCGTACATAATAGTAAATAAGTTGCCAGTACAAAGTCCAACCTGCGGGCAAAATGGTGTCAAATGTTTTGAAAAAATATGCGCTCACGTCACTGATGAGGAACGCAATTATTTAATAAACAAAGGTGACGTAGTGTGCAATTTTCCAAAGATACCGTGTAGCTGTACGCCATATTGTAGAACAAGTTTTATCGACATTTTTGGACATGCGCAGATCGGTGCGTCGACTAGTTTTATAGTGCCTAACTATAGATAGTTTGTAAACTTACTTCTTCAGTTTAACTAAAAATAAATTACCACCAATGACACTCGAATAGCATTTTTTCTAAAGGGACCCAGGTCTGAAAGCAGCAATTTGGACCCGGGTCCCTTTGACTTAAACTGAAGAAGTAAGTTTAAAAACATATATTCTATTCTATTCAATTATCTTTCATTTGATACCAAGTTTTGTCTTGCAAACCCAACAATAACATTATAAATATTTTTTTAAATAAAATCAACATCTCACTCTTCTCCGGGTCCGAATAGCCTCTTCATAGCTCAAACTGCAACCTGGGTTGCTTTTTAGTTTTGGTACCACTTAACGACCTTACTCCTTACAGTGCCTTGCCAGAGAGAACTTAGTTAAACAGCATTAGTTGCTAATGATAAGTGAGTTTACAAACTAACAAACCAATCAATTTTATGGTAAATTTGGAGAGATGGCACCATGGCCGCCATCTTGGTTGCCGCGGCCCCCAAACTTATGTCCTAAATGTATCCCTAAACTTAAAAGTCTTACTAATTACTGTTAGTTAGGCATAGAACTAGTCATGTTGGAGCTTGTTTAATTCTTGAATGAGACAATTGGCTGCAGTCTTAGACTTAATGTGATTCAAACTGACAAAATTCAACAAGTGAATGTGAGACCTATACCCAGAAGTCAAGACTCGAGTAGGCCTGAACCTAATTACAATTGTTAATGTGAGTGACCATCATGCTATGTAGGCCATGATAATGATGCAATTTTTTAATACTGTGACCTCATACTAACATTACAGCTCTTAAGACAAATTTCCCTTACTTGTGGCATTTGTGGACATTTGGTTTGCAATTGTCTGATTTGTACATTGAAACATTGGCTTACTTAGTCATTGATGAGTTCGAGTGTGTATGACTAGCCGATTGCCATGAATGATAATCATTTTATAAAAACACCCATTTTTGTCTTTCTATCTTTTATAGAAGTTGAGATTTTTTTTATGCCCCGCATATAATTATAATATATATATTTTACCCCCAAAACATATGAGACATTCCTAATCTAATAAACAACACAAAGAACAACAAAACTTTTACATTACATCAATACTTTTTATTTTGGATAATTTTCTTTGCAGGTATGTTTAAAAAATCATGTACAGAAAAATTATTTATAAAGGCAAAAACAAAAGAATAACATGTTCATTGTATTTTAATGAAATATTATTCAGTTATATTTAAAATAAATTCTTATACTTATAAAAAGTAAGTTAAAGTCTTTTTTAAATGTTAAATTGAATGCATGAACTTATAAATACGACTAAAATCTCTGAAAGGACAAAACTAATATGAGCACACCAGTGCCGGTATGAGATAAAATTTTAAAGGGTAAAGGGGGTGTTCTGCCTGTCATTTTCTATGTAGACAGCTTGATCTTGTTGATGAATCCCACAATATCTCTGTCGTAAATATTGTCTTTGCCATCAACATCCAAACGTGCCTCTTAGTCGATGGACGGAATTCCACACAGTTCAAGAGAAAATCGTACTCTGTACCTGAAAGAAGCATAGCCATAACACTTTTTTATCAATATAATTATAATCCTGAACGTACACACTATCTAAATTTCTTTTTAATACTATTCAATATTTGAGGTTATTAAAAAATGATTTTTGTGTCGTGTTAACTGTTTTACTACGTCTGTAAAAACACAGCATCAGAATATTTTATTAAATTAACAATTAATTAACATTTAGAATTTAATACCTTATTAAATTTTTAAAATGCAGATTTTAATTAGGCTTTTATCATTGTAAGAATATTAGTAATTAGGCTTTTATGATCTTATGCCTATAAATGGACTATAATAATAATGTTTATTGTTATAATTTATAAGTAGGCCTAATTTAGTAATATAATCCCATATGATTAGGCATTAATTAGAGAATAACTATTATTATTATTGATACAATTAACTGATTTTATAAAGAGTACCAATAAAATTTGTAGATCCACACACAATTACGCTTAAATTCATAATTGACAGTGATAATAGCAATTTCCAACATCTCAATAGAAAAATAATTAACTTTTAATATGACGACATTTTCGTCCCCACCCCAAGCAGCTTGAGAAGCGCTTAACTTTTTGGGGATTATTTGAAATTTAATTACATAATAATGTTTAAGCTTGTAAATTGAGTGAGTTTCATTTTATCTAGATCTCATTAGATTTTTTTTTACTAACTAAGGAGTATATTATGATATATGTTTACCGAATCGCAATGATAATCCTGTCCGTGTTACCGAAAATAATTTGTTGCGAAAATTTCCTAGAATCACCAGAACACAAAAACTGATATGTCACTGATAAGGAAAGCAATTGTTTAATAAAAAAAAAAAAAAGGTGACTAGTATGCAATTTTCCAAAAATACTGTGTAGCCGTTCACCATATTGTAGAACAAGTTTTTTTTTCAACATTTTTGGATATGTGCAGACCACATGCGTGAGTGGGTATTGAGGTGCCAAGTATCACGTCTTTGACTAACATGCAGTTTATAATTATTAATAATATGTGGCAGGTTATTTGTACCTCACATTGTTTTAACATTTATTATCTAGGCATATGCTAGGCACTTAAAGGTAAAATAGGCTATATAGTTATAGTACATATCGCATATAGGAATAATGAGCCTATTAATTAATAATTATAGGCCATTATTATTATGGAATTCATTAGGCTCTATATGAAATTCTAAATCGTACAAAAAAGTTATTAATTCCTTAAATAACATCCGTCAATAAGATCAGAGCACTCGTAACTTGGGATAACTTTTCTTCTTTTTTTTTTTCCAGTTATGCATTCTAAAAATTTCTATTCCAACTATTCTGCACGGCTTGGTTAGATTGACATTGAAATTATATGATTGTATCTGTAAACAGTTTTTTTTTTTTAAATTAATTTGTTTTGTGCATAGACCAAGCTATGCTTATGGCAGGTCCATTAATTTAGGTCCTGGGACAATATTTAAAAATGAAGTTTTTTTCTTTTTTTTTTTACAGTTATGCATTCTAAAAATTTCTATTCCAACTATTCTGCACGGCTTGGTTAGATTGACATTGAAATTATATGATTGTATCTGTAAACAGTTTTTTTTTTTTAAATTAATCTGTTTTGTGCATAGACCAAGCTATGCTTATGGCAGGTCCATTAATCTAGGTCCTGGGACAATATTTAAAAATGAAGTTGCATCTTAGAGGTCTCGTTATTAAGATAAGGTTTGGTAAAAATTATTTGATTAATAAAAAAAAATTGTTGTAGGTCATTACTAAAAAGAGAGTAATTATTTTGGGATAACTCATTTAATTAATTAAGAAAATTAATTTCCAAGTGACTAAATAAAAACTGAGCAGAGCTGCCACTCCTTGATCACATCCGAACTGTTAAAACTCTTACAATTGTGGCATACAATGTACGATTTTGTGGTGTCTTTCGAGTGTACGCCAAGACCTGTCAGAACTACAATTACTACAATTTTAAGAGACAGGCTTGAAAATATATAAATTGCATTTTCTTTCTACACCCATCTGCGAATGGATCCACTTATAGGATTTGTAATGGACCATCTATAATTATATTAGTTTGCCCTGAGAGGGGAATGGAGTGTTGTTGATTTAGGAGATTTCGTGTACAAACATTAGGTCAAAAAAATTAACACCTCCATCTTTTTGTAATGGGGGTTGGGGGGTTTCCTCTGTAGAAGGTATGTACGCTATTCAAAAATTCTACAGTAATCATCCTAAAAGTCAGAGTGTCATAGTCATATCTCGTATACAGTAAAAGTATCACAGATTGTTTTGTAAGAATTATCTGCATAATGTTGCAATGTATTTTCAAAATGAACTGGCTAGATATACTCAGAAAGTACTAAAAAGTAGAAGAATTACAGTAATGTTCAGTCCACCTTATTTTTTTTTTTTCCCGGCGCCTATGCCAAATGCAGGTTTTCACCAGCCTACTTGTGTTAAAATATATATCAAGTACACTTCAAAAAAGTTAAATGAAGGGTTGGTTTAAAATAATTATACGTCTGTTGGTCAGTAACCGCCATAGAGTAACTGCAAACAGTAGTAAAGTGGTTTACTGATAGTACTACAACCAAAGGATGTCACATTGGATTAAAAGTGGAAATAAAGTTGTATAATATTGTGCAACGCCTCTGAGGAAGCCGCATTAACCCATATAGAAAAATATGCACCCTTGCTGATGCGGACCAGTAATATGTCTTTGTGAAGTAATTGGGATTTTATAGCTTAATTCACTCGTAAGTGCCTTTCTTAAGACGATTTTGGCACCTATTGTTCTTCTTTCCCCCATTCTCATGACCCTGTCCAAGGACAAGCACCTAGGGCGATGCTGCTTATGTTCTGGGTACCACTGTACGCGCAAAATTGCTCGCGCAAAATTGCTAGCGGTGAAAACTGTCACATTTTGTTTACTTTAATTATATAAAGATTATTTGATTTTTCAATTTTTTTTGTTTCAGGGAAGGGGGGATGCATCAAAAAATTACCCTTGCAACAGAAGGAACGGGGGTGGGAGAGAATTTGACTTAATTTAGCGTACAAACTATATAGATGGCCCTTCCTCGCAGTTTTTTGCTGTATGATGTAATTTTATGTCATAGTTATTTCAAACAGCTGCTAGAAAATAGAGATTGCATTCTCAACTGTTCCGCAGCAATATTAGATTTTCAACATATATTATAGGATCTGAGGAAATCTATTTTTAGAATGCATAAAATATCTATAAGATTTTTTAACCCAACACACACACCACACGCCACCCCAACCCCCCCACCCCCCCCCCTTTTACAGCTTTTTATCTGAGTTGGAACCATGTAAAAGTTCACCAGTAACTTTATTTTACCAGTGTCGGAAAGGGATAATTTGATATGCGCGTTCACCTAAACATTAATTTATATCTATAGCAGATTGTTAAAAACTTTTCTTCCTTAATAGGTTCGTTGTCTAGGGGTTTATTATATACACTTCACAACTATAATTCTTGTATGAAATATCTTTATTAATCAAACTAAATCCTCAACTGCCATTACCGTAAGAACAACACTCCACAACCATCTACCATACTAATACGTCATATCCTTTTCCACACAATAGTCACAAGATACCAAGAATAATGAATAAAACAACACACATAATCTCAAACCAACACGCAATCACACAATACACTCAAGTCCCTAACACAGATACACGTCTGCAAAACAAAGTGAACAAAAATAGCAATATAATCGTTGGTCATCTACTTTTAGAAATTACCCTTTTTATGCCATCTTAACTCGATATCACTAGAAAAGTGTTGTGAGTAGTTATTGTGTACATTATTTATACTATGTTTACTTCTTTACTATTAAGATACTGTATTTTATGATATTGTACGATTAAAGGAGTAAAAGGGATAACAGGTCTGCACCAGCTATTCATTTAACCTTTGTTGTACAATAATTTATGACAATTCTGTTGACACTGTTTCAAAAACAAAATTGTTTTTAAAACATTTGTTGATTATTTCAAATTGGGTCAAATATATTTGTTTTATTAGTTAAAATATTAAATATAAAAATGTGTACTTCATATGGGCTGTGAAAACGGTCCTAGGTTATGCCTGAATGAATCTGCCTGGTTTGTAATCTTGTTATTTTTCTTGTTTTATAGGTAATTATTTTTCACGGTGCTTTTAGAAGATGCATGATTCCCAAACGATTCAAGTGAGTGTTTACCTACTTTTGATATATAACTGTGAATAATTTTCAGTTTGGTCACTGCAATGAATGTGCATTTTATAACATTTGAGAAATAAAAGCTTTTACTCCCTGCTAAGTGTGTTGTCTAATCCATCCATCCCTGTGGTGCTACAGCCCATGTAGGGCTTTGGCCTGCCTCACTACTTTCTTCCACTCAGACCTAACTAATGCCTTCCTTTTCCATGGACTTTCAGCTGATGTAGATATTTTTTCACATCATCTATCCACCTAAGCCTAGGTCTGCCTTTGAGCCTTCTTCCTCTGGGGTATTGGTGATGTAGCCTCTTCGTACCTCTGTCATTTGGCATTCTCTCTAGGTGTCCTGCCCAGCGTAGCCTGCCTCTTTTTTATTTCTGCCACTATCGTGGGATCCTGATATAGACTGTATAATTCCTGGTTGGTTCGTATTCTCCATCCATATTCATCCTTTGTTGGCCCATATATTTTCCTGAGAAATTTCCTCTCCCATGTGTTTCATAGGTTTTTTGCTGTTTTTGTTAGGGTCCAAGTTTCACTTGCATATGTTACAACTGGTCTGATCAAAGTTTTATAAATAGTTTATTTGTTTCTCTTGTAATGTTTATACTTTTGAGTATTTTTTGACTACTGAAGTATGCCCTGTTTCCGGCTGATATTCTTTATATTATTTCTGTTGGTAATTTGTTTCTTTCATTTAACAAGGATCCTTGGTATTTGAATTGATTTACTTTTTCAAAAGTTTGGTTTCTAATTTTAATTGTTTCATCTGTTTGTTCCTCTCTTATCATGGACATGTATTTTGTTTTTTGGTTGTTAACTTCTAGCCCTGTTTGTAAAGATGCGTCTTCTAATTCAATAAAGGATTTTGATGTCTTTTATACTTTTCCCTAGAAGTGCTATGTCATCAGCATATGCAAGACACTGAAGTGGTTGGTTGTAGAGTGTGCCCGTTGGTTGTGGGTCTTGTCCTCGAGTGTCAATGTGTGTTTCTAATAACTCTCTCTAATGTTAGGTTAAAGAGCATACAAGACAGTGAGTCTCCCTGTCTTAGGCCTCGTCTGATATGGGATTCCCTTGAATATTCTCCTTGAATCTTGATTTTGCTTTTTGAGTTGTTTAGTGTTACATGTATTAGCCTTGTCAGTTTGTCGAGTATCCCAAACTCCTGCAGAGTCTCATATAAATAGTTTCTTTTGATGCTGTCGTAGGCCATTTTATAGTCTACATAGAGTTGATGTACTGGTATATTAAATTCATAGCATTTCTCTAATAGGCATCTGATGGTGAAAATCTGATTAGTGTTGATCTGTTAGGCCTGAATCCACATTGGTAATCACCTAGTATTTCTTCAGTGTAAGGTTGTAGTCTTTTTGCAATAAGCTTTGTCAGTATTTTGTATGTAACTGTGTTGTCTAATAGCTCATATTTTATTCCATTTTATTTTTTATTTTTCCTTTGCAATTGGCAGATCAGACAAAGTCAAAGGACATGTCATAGGTATAGATTTGGGAACTACCAACAGCTGTGTGGCCGTTATGGAAGGCAAACAACCTAAAGTCCTTGAAAATTCTGAAGGTTCCAGGACAACACCTTCAGTAGTAGCCTTTACAAAAGATGGGGAGAGACTTGTTGGCATGCCTGCCAAGCGACAAGCTGTTACCAATGCACAAAATACTCTTCATGCTACTAAGCGACTAATTGGTCGTAGATTTGATGATGCTGAAGTTCAGAAAGACTTGTATGATTTATTTTAATACATTTGTGTATTTAAGCTTGAATTACATTTGTAAATTTAAAAAATTATTTTTTAAAAAGAAAAAGTAACATATTTTTTAAGTTCCTTAAAGTAATTGTTGGCAAAGTGATGTTAAAAATTCTAATTTTTCAATTTTCTTAAATTATTACAGAAAAAATGTTCCATACAAAATAGTTAAGGCATCTAATGGAGATGCTTGGTTGGAGGCTCAAGGAAAACTTTATTCACCAAGTCAGATTGGAGCTTTTGTATTAACAAAAATGAAGGAAACAGCAGGTTCTTAAATTAATGCATTTTAATTTACTTATGGATTTTAATCTAAATCAATTCAGCTAAATGAAATAAGTTGTTTTTTTATTCTAATTTTATAATTTTTTTTTTTTTTTTGCTTTATAATATTATTTAATAGTAAAGTATTCCTTTTCAAGTGGGTCACATAATTATATTTTTTTCACTTTCTACTGATTAATTCAATGCTTTTTTATTTACAAAAACAACAGAAAGTTATCTTGGAACTAAAGTTAAAAATGCTGTAGTCACTGTTCCAGCCTACTTCAATGATTCTCAGAGACAGGTACAATTTTATTTCAAAACATCTACATTTTAAATATTGTCTTTATTGCTTAAAATCATGATTTTTTTTTTATTTTGTCAACTTGAAAGTGAGATCATTATAGCTTTATACAATTTTTTTTTTAATAGTTGAAAATTCTACAGAAAATTGCACTAACATCTTTTTAATCTGCAATACAGGCAACAAAAGATGCTGGTCAAATTGCTGGGTTGAATGTTTTGCGTGTGATCAATGAGCCAACAGCAGCAGCCCTTGCCTATGGAATGGATAAAACTGATGATAAAGTGTATGTGCATATTACATAATCACAAAATTATCCACAAACTGCTCAAAAACCTTTTTACTTTTGCCAAGGTTTATGCTTGTATCAGTTCAAAAACAATGTAAAAAATCAGACCCTATCTCTTGCCAGGAAATAAATTAGTATATTGTGTGCAGATTTTTAAGGATATCATTTTGAAAATTTCTGCTTTAAATTATTATTAAACTATTTTTTTCTATAATATTGTAGGATTGCTGTTTATGATCTGGGTGGAGGAACATTTGATATTTCAATTCTGGAAATCCAAAAAGGCGTCTTTGAGGTCAAATCAACTAATGGTGACACATTCCTAGGAGGGGAAGATTTTGACAATGCTTTAGTCAATTTCTTGACAGCAGAATTTAAGAAAGAGGTACTATTTTGATGTTTTAAAAGTGATTTGTAAAACATGAAATAAATATTTTTGAGCACAGCTAACTATTTGTAGTTATATTAAGTTTAACACTTCCCACTTAACTTTACAGCAAGGAATTGATATTACAAAGGACTCTATGGCAATGCAGAGATTAAGAGAAGCAGCCGAAAAAGCAAAGTGTGAGCTTTCTTCCTCCATGCAGGTAAATGATACACTAAATTACTAAATTATATAAAACCATGCAGTGATGCTTATTTTTCGTCATCAGTATTGCTCACGGTAAAGTGGTGACATATTTTGTCTGAGCATGGGTTCGGAAAAAAATTATTTGATTTAACTTCAACTCATTTAAGTTCACATGATATGTAATTAATATTAGCAGGTGTCAGTGTCTTGGTATGAAATATTTTTCGAAGTTTAACATAGTTATTGCCTACCCCTTACAGATTCCCACCATTAAAGCATACAATATTACCTTTATGTATTTAAAACATAAATGGATCTAACAGGCTTTTTCATTTTGTCCATTTTAAAATTTTCATGAGTATAAAAGTGTTGACAATCAATGTTGTTTTTTAATACGCCAGAAACATTTGGTTCAATGAACACTTTGTTTCTTCTTAATAACATGTTGCTTGTTAAGTCTTGGCTTACACATTACTTAAATTACATTTTCATATGCAATGGTTATTTTTTTTATTGCTTTTTTCAATGGATCCATACCAATTTAATATTTCTAGAAATTATCCTGTTTATTTGAAAATACTCATGCTATGATGTTGATTTTTCGTCAACAGTATTACACAGTAAAATGGTGACATGTATGTCTGAGCATGAGTTTATGTAACATTAGTTTATATCTTATAACATTTTAAGTTGTTGTTTTTTTTGTGTGTTAATGTTTATTTTAATTTTCCTCCATTCAATAGACTGATATAAATTTGCCATATCTGACGATGGATGCCTCAGGCCCAAAGCACATGAATCTTAAACTTTCACGTTCTAAGTTTGAATCTATTGTGGAAAATCTAGTGAAGCGAACAATTGGTCCTTGTCAGAAAGCCCTGCAGGATGCAGACGTTAAGAAATCAGACATCGGTGAAGTTATTCTTGTCGGTGGTATGACTCGTATGCCTAAGGTTTGTTAATGTTTTATGAAATTTAGTCTAAATTAGGACACAATAAACATCCGATTATAGTTCTTGTGGAGTATAAAGCTACACTTCCGTCTCCGCTTCCCAGTCGGTCGTTAAAAATTGTGTTGAAAGAATAAGTTCCTGTCCAATATTTTAAACCAAATATAACAACTACTTCCTTGTATTAATAATGAACTTCCGTTTTTCCCTCTTGTATGTCCTTTTTTTAAACTTTGGAGCTATTTTTTACAACGATCTTTATCAATCAAATTTATGTAAGTAGATTTTCGATCATTATTATATAAATTATAATGATATGCCTTCAAAAATTGTAGTTTGAGTTACTTAAAAAGAAAAATTTTCTTTATTGTTGGTCACTCCATGGTCAAGGTCACAGTCAGCGAGCATAAAATATCATTTTTTTTAAAAACCTTAGCTATAAGATAATATTATTCTTTTATTACTCCTAACAATTGGAAATGCTTTTGCATGTGAAAAATCACATGCACTCAAAAAGCTCTAAATTGCCAGTGCATTACAGAATGATAAAATGGACAGTTCGTGGGTTAAATGCGCTTGATATATAAAAAAATAATTTTTTATTGCTCATAATTACTTAGGTGCAGGCAACTGTTCAAGATCTGTTTGGTAGAACACCCAGTAAGGCTGTCAACCCTGATGAAGCTGTTGCAATTGGTGCTGCCATTCAGGTATTCTATTTCTTGTATTATTGTTTTTTAAATTTTAGAAGTTCACGATAGGTTTATCTATTGTGGTTTTATAACGTGCATATTTTTAAAAAATATTTTTGCCTAAATAATCTTACTTAATTTTTAATGCTAGGTACTTGAATGCAAAATTAATAATTTCTCCAACTTAATGGCATATGAATTAACTTTCTGCTCTAAGATATGGCAACTTTGTAAGGACATTTGAAACATTTGCTCACCACTGACAGTATTTTTCCATGTTCAAGAATTTCTGTTAAATATATACGCCAAGGGCATTTGTCATTTACAAATCATTTGATCTTTTCCTAAAGGCAATATTAATTGGCTGGCTTTTTGTTTCTTTGTAAGGGTGGTGTGCTTGCCGGTGATGTCACAGATGTCTTGCTTTTGGATGTTACTCCACTATCTCTTGGTATTGAAACTCTGGGTGGTGTGTTCACGAAGCTTATAAACAGAAACACCACAATACCTACAAAAAAAAGTCAGGTATGTACTAGATACAATCAGCTTCAGACTTTTTTTTTTAAAGCAGAATAAGTATATTAGTGATAAATGTGTATGATTAAAACTAATGATGTTTGGCTGTATTTTTAAGATGAATAGAACCAAGTAATTAACCAATGTACGTTAAAGCAGCATACAAATAATTTCTATCCCAGCAAACTGATTTTTTTTTTTTTTGGTTAGATATTATTTTTTCTCTTAAAATAGTTACAAAATTTTGTTTTTATTGTATAAAGCATTTTTGTGCTTATTTGTTTCAAGGAAAACTTATAATCTTGTGTTTGGACATTTTATACATCAGATTTTATAAATGCCTATTCTAATATTAACATAATGGAATTAGGGTTATCTGAAATATTACCAGTGTATTTGTATACAGAGATATGTCATCTCCTAGGTTTTCTCCACCGCTGCTGATGGCCAAACACAAGTTGAAATCAAAGTTCATCAGGGAGAACGAGAGATGGCCACTGACAATAAACTTTTGGGACAGTTCACATTGGTTGGTTTCTTTTTTTATGTCTTATAAAAGATCCATTTATGGCATTATGCTCCATTGATTTACCATCAAGAAAGGTTTCATTATAAATTCTGTTGCTTGTAATAGATAATTTGTTACTGTTGGAAAAATTCTGTTTTGATTCAAGTGAAATTCATTATCTTTTTAGTGTCTTGTTTGTCATTTATAAGTTGTAATAGTGTTGCTTTATTTTTTGTACAGGTTGGAATCCCTCCAGCTCCACGTGGTGTACCCCAGATAGAAGTAACCTTTGATATCGATGCCAATGGTATTGTCAATGTATCAGCAAGAGATAAAGGAACTGGAAAAGAACAACAAAGTATTTGATTTTTTATACATATATATATTTATTTTTTGTTATTGTTATTTTGTAATGCCTTGTATTCTTACCATGGAAAATCCAAAACTATGGATAAAATATCTACATCATCAATCTGTTGAGATTTTCAACCGTGCATGATCTTCATTGGCTTTGTGCCACAGAGTAGATTTCAATGAAAGCCTTTTACTAAATATTATATTAACTGTCTAATTATTATTTCAGTCGTTATCCAGTCATCCGGTGGATTATCTAAGGATGAAATTGAAAATATGGTGAGGAATGCTGAGCTACATGCAGAGGAGGATAAAAAAAAGAAGGTACTATACTTGTAAATCACTGTTTTGAAAGTTAAACATTTTTGTATGTAGACTTGATATACATCATTTGCATTACTTGATTTATGCTTATGTATTTAGGAACTCATTGAGGTTCTCAATCAAGCGGATGGTATAATCCATGATACAGAAAGTAAAATGGAGGAGTTTAAGGACCAGCTTCCTAAAGAAGAGGTATTTTCTTCAAATTTTATAGACAATCTTGCTTGTGTTATGCTCTTGATGAAGAAAAGTTTTTTTCATCGTTTTATTTTTGGATTTACCTTAGGTTGAATATCGAAATTTTACCAATTAAAACTTGACATAAATGGAATTAATATTTTTGATTATGCATTTATTTAAGAACTTAGCTTCTTAATTTTCAGTATATTTTCTTGTAAATTAAGTAACATGTTTTTGTTGATGAAAATTACTGTTGAAGATCTTTAATATTTGTCAAGATTTTGATACTGTGATAAAGTACTCAATATTATGAACCTTTTCAGTTTTGGTTTTACTTTTCATTTGAGTTTTATAATTAAATTCTTTTCAGTGCGATAAACTGAAAGAGAAAATTGCTACTGTTAAAGAAGTGATTGCCAAAAAAGATAGCAAAACTCCAGAAGAGATCAAAAGGGAAACAAATGAACTGCAACAAGCCTCCCTTAAACTTTTTGAGATGGCCTACAAAAAGGTTAGTTTTTTTTTTAAATACTACCATATTCAAGTAAGTTGTGAGAACATAATGGGCAATGACAAAGAGCATATTTTTTCACTTTGAAGATATAAGGTGAACTTTTTCTACGTTGCATAGTTTCCTAAAAAATAATTATGTGTGATTTCGTTGCTGGTGTGACTAGTGATGTGTGACAGATCACCTTTAGAATAATGCAATTGTGGTTAAAGTCATATCCAATTTTTATAAGATATGTGAGCCAACGATTTTAAATTAAAAAGTTTTTGTTTTCAACCAGTAGCTATTACTGTTCATGTTTTTACTCTATCCATATTTTTTTTCCCCAGATGGCTGCTGACCGTGAGGGATCAAGTGGTAGCTCCAGTGGAAGTTCTGATTCAACTTCTGGGGGGGATAAAAAAGAGGATAAGAACTAATGAGGAACGTGTTAGAGAAGTCAGATTGGGTGATTAGTTGTGCCGTTTTTTTGTTTTTTTTTTGTCAAGGCTATATAGAAAATTCATATTTCAAAGTTTAAAAAACAAAATCTTCCTAAATTTTCAATTTGTGTTATGGTTTTATGTGTTACATTTTCACTCAAGAGGCTCTCCCTTGCTTCTAATACTTGTACCAATAGGAGTTCATCAACGAAATCTTGATACTACTAAAGTTTTTATCAAATTGGGTCTGAGCTGAGATATGTAGAACTTAATGAATGACATGGAGTTTTTACTTTATTGAAAAGTAACTTGAAGTAAGAAAAAAAGCATGAAATGATAGTAATAAATACAAGTATAGCATGATAATATTCTATTTTTTACCTGTCAGTTATGAAACAATTGACATAAAATATTTTAAAATGATTATTGATCACTAGGTCCAAGATGTGATCTTGTTAAAGCTTTAAAATCTATATATTATATCAAGTTTTAAGAGGAGATTGAAGTGTTCACTATTATTTGCATAGACCTTGACTGATGGACCACTTGACTGCAGCAATAATTAGGCAAAGGGTTCATTACTTTTTTATTTTTTTTTTTTTTATAAAGCTTGGATGCTACTGATGTCTGAGTGTGACTCTGAGCAAAGATGTAGAGCATAAGTTGTTTCATAATGAATGCATGTATTTTATCAATGATTAGTTTCCATAGCTCCTCATGTAACATTCATATGTTGTTCATTGTTATTGGTACCAGCCAGGTACTTGTACCATATTATGTCTGTAACAGATTTATTTATTTTTTTTTTACTTCTATATGTGTGTGTGTGTTTGTAGAATGGATACTTCATTTGTTGTTAGTGATTGATAAACAGAATTACCAGCATTTTGCACAAGTTTGATAATAGATCTTTCCTTGCAAGTTTAGATGGTGAATTACCAATTTTGGGGGCATTTTCATGTTCTTAAGAATTGTCCAAAAATGTTTCATTATTATTGTGATATTTACAGAAAAATAAAATAAAACAGTTCAAATTTGTTTTTTGTTTTTTTTTTAATAGTCAATAATTCTCAGGCAGGTGGAAGGAATTCCATGTTAATGAATGTCTGCTGCTTTCTTCAGCTGGGTCATTAATAACTGTAGCGGAACACCACCAGTATACATTAAATAAGAAGCCGTAAGCTGGCAATTTTCTAAACTGGGGAACATCTCAAGTTTAGAAACACATACAAAGATGTCCCCTATTAAACACACTTGGTTAAATATTAATAAATTACTAAATATTGTAATTAACCGAAAAGTATTAAAATTAGAAGCTTAATTTAGAAGTTATTTTGTAACACGTTACAGAGAGCCCAGTTTTTAATCACCTGCTGGTCATCAATCGACAGAACATAAACCACAATTACAGTTCCAGTGTCAAAGGGGCCACCCGACAAAGGATCCATTATTTTTGAATATGTTCTGGAACATGTTTTAACGAGGTCATGTTTTAATAGCCATCTCATTTCATATTCCTACGTAACAATTTATAGAAAGAAAAAGTAGGGAAACCAAGTCGGACATTTTTCATAGGATTGTTACCAAATGGCTGCTACTGTCGTGTTGTGACAGCAGGACATTATTTCCCCTTTATGATAAGGCTTCAGTCAAGCCCTCGGGCATTAAACTTTAACATTTAGAGGGGGGGGGGGCGGCGGGTCAAAATTGAAGAAGCCACGTGTTATATACTAACATGCTGGTGAGAAATCCATACGTTTTAAGAGGTAAATTCTGTGACAAAAATGGATCACAAATGATTAACGTTAAATATTACAGAGAACAAGACGGTTATAATTGAAAATCTTAAAATTGCATTGACTTTTTGGATAGCTCAATAAAACAACTAAACACTTCAAGTGGCAAGGCTCTCTAAAAGTCAAGCGACGGCTCTGGGTAATAATGGAACCGTTTACTTCAAATTGCGCTAGAGAAAGCATAACTGATGTAGGCTAGGGCAGTCCAGCGGCAGTGGTGCCATCATGGTTGGTAGGTAGTAGTACAAGGGAATGTCGTATGTGATGGTTAACTTAATAATATAAGATATTTATTTACATAACGATACCGGAAACAATAATATTGCAAGAAACCCCTCTCCAATGAATTAACATTACCATCTGATAATTGATATGAGGTAATGGATTGTATATATACGTTTATATATATATATATATATATATATATATATAATATATATATTATACCGGTATACAAAAATACATTCGTGATATTTTTGCTCACAAATGTGAAGTGGTCGCGCCCACGGGTCCTGAAAACGAACTTTAAAGAAACACAGTATATTAAAAATTAAATTTGATGTTGCATTTCCCCTTTGATTATAATTATGTGTTTTTGTGTGTAATTGATGTTTGTTTTTTTTTTATGGCATACGGCGCTGGGATTGGGGCGAGTCAGTAGGTCGTGAGAACCTGATAGTTTAGTACCGTAGCCAGGGTTGCCAACCGTCCGTAAATTACGGACAGTCCGTAAAGATTTGACGTAAAATTGCCTGTCCGTAAAATTCCGTTAAAAAATTTAAGACGTCCGTAAAAAAAATCGACTAAACGTGGAATCTCAACGTTTAAAAAAAACCCAGAAAATCATGTTTGTGATATCTATTTTCTTGATTCAAATTTTAATTTTTAAATTGTTTTAGTGGCATCCCGCGCTCTATTAATAAACTGTAAGAGCTTTCTGGACAGCTAGGCTGTTCGTTTTAAGGTCAACATTTTTTATGTTAAATGTGTCCGTAAAAAATTGTTTTTGTCCGTAAATTTTGTTCTTATATTTGTCAGTAAATGTTATTTTATTGAGTTGGCAACCCTGACCGTAGCGTAGTTCTAAGTGTTATGGTAACGGTACTGGTACCGTACTTATGTTCCTTTTCCTAGAAACTTTCTATGGAAAAAAATATTTAAAATTAAGTGAAAGTGAAACAGCTGTACATCTAAATGGATTTGTAAATTAACAACAAAAATGTGAAGAAAAAGAAAGAAAGAAAAAACAAATTTTCAATTTTAACAACAGGTAAAATCGAACTCAAAGTGACGGTTATTACATTCAAGGATAATTTGGGAGACGGTCACACTATTTGGACTGCCTAGGGGCTGCCAAATGTCTTACTCCGGTACTAGGTCACTGGTACTGCTATGGTAAATAATCAAAAAATTAATCAAGATAGATCATTTAGTTTTTTTAATCCGCTAGTGCTTGTTTATAGCAGACGATTTTATATCTAGGCCTGCCTAATGATTAGCATATCTTTCTCTGGGAAAGGGGGAAGGTCTTATTTGAATTTAAAATACACGAATTTTGAAATGAGGTCAACTTCTCATTCTGTAAGCATCTTTATGTATTTAAATATTGTCACGGATTTCCCATTTAGAATTGTTTTATTGTAGGATGCAGAAGATATGAAAACTATTTTATTTTAAAAAGAAAGCGTTAAAATTTATTTGGCACAAACTTCCTTTTGCTGAATGAACCAGAAAACAGCCGGCTTACATTTTATGTTCTAAAATCTAAATCAATGTGTGTTTATAAGAAACACAAATTTCCATTGGTTTTGGATTTTTTTTTTTCGTGGTAGAGTAAGAGAAAGTGCCAGCAGAATTCATCTCATTTTTCCAGAAGCATGACGTAGTTTCTTTGCCGACTCATAAAAAATGTGTCTATTTATCATCGTGACATTTCTCTAACGCGTCCTTTGGCCAATGCTAATTTACTACCAACGACCATCCATCAAGCTTTCGACCATGTTCACGTCATGAGTAAAAAAAAAAAAAAAAAGAAAGAAAGTAACATCACTAATACAAACATTTTTTTTTTNTGGGGGGGGGGGGTGGAGGGGGGTATCATGGCTTGTTTTTTAAAAAGGAGGACATACAGTGAAACAAAAAATGGCCCCAACCCTTTTCTCTCTTTAAAAAAATAGTTCTCCTGCATATTATTTTCATTATTTTCTCTTGATTTTGCTTAAAACAAAAAAATTTGTTGGCAGTGGCATACGGAAAAAGTGTGTGGGGGAGGTGTGGGTCATGGAGGGCATTTTGAGTAAGTTTTTGAGAGTTGTGAGTCAACGAAATTTGACATGGAAGATAAAACATCAACGACCTACGAGGTTTATTCAACAATGACTTCTGTCTCCTCTATATTTCCTGTTGTCATGTCAGGGTAAGGATTCTCAAATTCATCGCCCGCTTCCCGCATGCTGAGCTGACCTCCAGGGCAGGGATGTCTCATACCATAGCATCCTACCCAGAGGATATAATTGCATGTAGTGGGTCTTTTAGATTTCTGTAGGTAGGTGTTGTTTCTCTGCAAAATCAGAGGCCACATCTAGTAAGGATTTCTGTTTTATTCTATGGTTTGGTCTCCATTTTTCAACCATTTCCCTATTTGGATGATGCTTGTCTATTGGATGTTAGTTGACTATTTGGATGTTGCTTGTCTATTTGGATGTTGCTTGTTTATTATCTGTACCTTTCAGTCATCTCGATAACTGCTGTCTCTCTTCTAAGATTTAGTGGCTCATTATTAGATTTCCCATGATGCTTTTGGGGTAGTTCTTATACTTCTGCTTCTATATATTAAGGACCAGAGATGAATGGATTGTCTGGCTTTGTACTTTTTTCCTATAGAGTCTTTCAAGTTTTGAACATGATTTTGAAAACCGAGTTGCCTATCTCACTGGACACGTAGATGTTTTGGGCTATCTCTCTAACTGGACACCTGTACATGTTGGTTTGTCTTCTTTTTGGAGTATTGTGCCCTGAAGGGATAGTGTGATGTTCTCTTTGGCTACCTTGTGGCTTTTAGTGAAGGACATATTATATTGTCTTGGTGGTGTTTACTTTCAATTTCGACTTTTTCACTGTATGTAATGAGCCTGATCACGTCTTCGTTAAGACGTCATGAACTTATAACCTGTGTGTCGGCAAGTAGGCAACATCACAAGGTCATCTGCTTAGAGTGCCTTCTCCACCTGTAGCTCGTCCGGTAGGTCCTTAATGAACATTAAGAATAAGGTATAGCCCAGTGACGAACCTTGTGGAACCTTGTGGGCGCCCTGCTTCTAGGTCACCCTTTGATGAGGTGGCATTTTTTATATATTTTGTTTGGATAGTTGAAAGAAAGATTTTTAATGTACATCTTGCCACGAATCCCTGCATTGTTTAACTTCTTTACGCAAGGCTCTTTCACAGGCCTGCTGGAGGTCGACATAGACTGCTGTGGTGTGTGGTGCTAGAGGTCCCCATAGACTGCTGTGATGTGTTTTGTTTCATCATTTAAGCCAGTTAAGGTCATTTGGCTCAAGCGGAAGAGTTGAGCAATAGTTCAATGTCCAGCGCTGATGCCAGCTTGGTGTTTAGCAAGGGTTCTTGTTGTTTCTAGCCAACAATAGAGGTGATTTTTTAAATTAATATTATTTTTGGAAGTTTTCCAATGCTGAAAGTCAGGGATATCGGGCTGTAGCTTTCGGCATCGTCTGCAGCCTTTTCCGTTTAATATTGGTGTTATAACATCATTTTTCCAGATTTTAAGGATTTGGCTTTTATGAGGCCCCATTTTATCCCCCTTCCCCCCATCCTAAAAAAAAATAATTAAAATCCAATTCAAAAAGTTGTTAAAATAACATTTGCACTTTGTAATTAACACTTGCACCTTAATAGCAATTTAATTTAGTTTTAAATTAAAACTCATAATTCCTTACTGTGGAGTCTTCATCTTTTTGCAAGTCTTTGACTTAGTCTCGTAAACTTGAAAATGATGAGATATTAACACGTCATTTTTGAATTATGATTTAGTATCATTAGAATATTATAAGATTTGCACATTTTTAGATTTTAAAATATTTTTGAAAGGGATAAACGTAATTTTTGTCAGTGTTTAAAAACAGTCTTTAAAATTGTTCGATTTCGAAGGGCCTTGGCTTAAGCCTAACAAGGGACAATGCACATATTATATAACATAAAAATATGACTTTAACCCTCCC